TGGGAAGGAAAAACTCCCTTTTAACAGGAAGAAACCTCCAGCAGAACCAGGCTCAGGGAGGGGCGGGGCCATCTGCTGTGATTGGTTGGGGTGAGAGAAGGATGGCCTCACAGTAAGCTTTATAATACTGTGGTACACAGAGGAGTTCATGGTCAACTAGCAGTGAGATACCCGGGTCCTATGGCTGCAAAACAAGCTGTAATCATCCCCCAGACTGTCCCACCAATCGCCCTTGGTCTGGAGCACCATGCAGGATCGTACCTCACAGAGTGATGATAGTCATGAAAAAGGTGGTGGATCAGTCCAAAAACATGTAGCAGGAGCTGGTTAATGATCTGACGGCAGTTCGGACCACAGTCACCAACAACACCACGGGTAACGTACTACATTATAATTGTTTGTCCCCCTGCTCAGGAAGACACATTTATAGGCTTGTCTGAAGTTTGCCACTGAACATCTAAATGATTCAGAGAAGAAACTGCTGTGGTCAGAAACTAAAATCAACTCAACCTCAGAATTGCTGAGGTTCACCTAAAGAACACTATTCCCATAGTTCCCAGTGGCCTTTTACTTTGCTCTTGTGCGATGACCTGATCACGGTGCAGCTCCACTGTTACATGTGAGATCAACTGTCATTGTCAATCAATATCCTCATCCACACAACTAATGCCCCCAGCTGAACCAGGGTGTGGTGAACCAGGATCTACGTGCAGCCTGAGTCCACCATTGCATGCCATGCATACCCCCTTGGCACCTTACTGGTACGCTGCATGTCTCACGCAGACCAGTGAGAAGTGTTACAGGGCTGGAGATACCAAACACCTGTCCCACATCCATGCACGGTCACTGTCTGTGGAAGTGTCCCTGTCCTCAACAGCCATCGGCTATTGAGGTGTAGTGTCTGTGGCCTCTGGGACCTGAGCAGAAATAGAGGGAGAAGGGTGATGGGTCCCAGAGCCGCTTACTTGTTCCATCAGTTGCATCCGCTCCACCGACTCTTGGCCATTACAACGGGTGGTCCAACATCAGTGTCACTGTAATGTCGAGGCTGATCAGTTGGTGGCAACAGACCAACTCCGCTGTGCCCGCCTGAGGCCCCTCCATCACCATGAGCTCTGCCAGCCAAGCCTCCCCTTTCCTGGGACCAGGTTGTAGCTTTTGGTTTGCATATTATGCAAGGCCCTTTCCATACGCCAAGCTGCAGGCAGCTGATCTCCATCATGGAGATCAGCTGTTCTGGTCAACCACACCCCTCGCCTGTAGCTGAGCCACGAGCCACACCCCACCACTTTAACTTGAGTAGGTACTGAAAAAGAGTTGTTTATTAACCAAGATAAGAATTCTGCAATCATTCCCTTTAGTTATTTAGTTCTTTGCTTTTCTACTGTACTCAAAGGACTTTACACAACTTGCCTCATTCACCCACTCAGACAAGCACTTCTATTTTTTATGTAAGTGCTTACTAAGTAAAGTGCTCTGACTGCTCAGAGTAGAAAAGTGCTATATCAGAACCAGTCCATTTACTAACCAACATTCACACACACATGCAGCAATGGATTCGTCAGAGAGCAACTTGGGGTTAGTATCTTGCTTTGGGATATTTGACATGGACACTAGAGCAGCCGGAGATCAAACCACCAACCTTCTAATTAGAAGATGACCTGACCGAGGTGCTTCCTTCTTTTAAAGACTATACCAGATTCTAAATTTGGCTCATCCTAAAGTTATCTTATTTTTCTTATTATCTTATTTTCTTTCTATATTGTCTTATTGGAATATCATTCGAACTGTAGAAGTGTAGTCGGATGATAACACACAGAGGAAAGGTTCAGAACTGAGGGGATCAAACTACCAGAAGGCAACATTGCAGACACGGAGAACAGCTACAAGTTCCTATGAATGCCAAAGGGAAATGGGAACCACAAACAGGCCGCTAAGAAACTTGCAACCGCCAAACACCTGGAAAAGTCAGGCAAGGCCAGAGGAGTCAGCTGAACGGTAAGAACAAGATCCGGGCTATCAACACCTATATCCTGCCGCTAATCAGGTACCCCGCTGGGATGATAAGCTGGCCAAAGGAGGAGATAGAAGCCACTGACATCAAGCAAGAAGAAGAACCATTACGGAAGGACAGGCCCAGGATGACATCCAGAAATCCTACCAGTGGCTGGACAAAGCTGGACTGAAAGACAGCACAGAGGCACTAATCATGGCAGCACAAGAACAAGCTCTGAGCACAAGATCCATAGAGGCTGGGGTCTATCACACCAGACAAGACCCCAGGTGCAGGCTGTGTAAAGATGCCCCAGAGACAATCCAGCACATAACAGCAGGGTGCAAGATGCTAGCAGGCAAGGCATACATGGAACGCCATAACCAAGTGGCCGGCATAGTGTACAGGAACATCTGTGCCGAATATAACCTGGAAGTCCCGAGGTCAAAATGGGAGATGCCCCCAAGGGTGGTGGAGAATGAACGAGCTAAGATCCTGTGGGACTTCCAGATACAGACGGACAAAATGGTGGTGGCTAACCAACCGGACATAGTGGTGGTAGACAAACAGAAGAAGACGGCCGTAGTGATCGATGTAGCGGTTCTGAACGACAGCAATATCAGGAAGAAGGAACACGAGAAGCTGGAGAAATACCAAGGGCTCAGAGAAGAGCTCGAGAGGATGTGGAGGGTGAAGGTAACGGTGGTCCCCGTGGTAATCGGAGCACTCGGTGCGGTGACTCCCAAGCTAGGCGAGTGGCTCCAGCAGATCCCGGGAACAACATCTAAGATCAGCGTTAATCTCGTTAAAATGACGTTAACGCCATAACCGCATTAACGGGGCAAATCTCCGTTAGCGAGTTAACACAGATCCGTGGGGCTGCATGGCGCTAACACGTTAGCATGCTTAGCTTGTTGACGGTTATGGCGTTAACGTCATTTTAACAAGATTAATGCTGACGGCACAACTTTTTAAACCTCTTGAATTAAAGCTGAAAGTCTTACTTCACTGTTTGCTTTGAAATTCACTGTGGTCATGTAAAGAGGAAGGAAAAAAAGTATGGCTCTAACTCTACTTTATTTATCCCTGAAACTGGGAAAATATTGTGTTACAGCACCCGAAACGTTAAACACAATCCATAACAAAATAGCTTACATGTAGCCGAAGCACTAATAATATAAAAGTGGCAAAACAAAACACTTAAATAAAGCAGTAAAAATATAAATAAATATATAAAAAGCATGAGAAAAGCTAAAGAGAAAAGAGAAAAAAAGCCCAAAAAGTTAAAATAGGTGGTAAAGAATTTCTTTATGTGTCTTTCTGGCAGCAGAGCTTAAAGAGATATATGAGAGAGAGCCGGTGCAGTGTGTAGTGCAAAGGAAAATGAAAGAAAAAATAATACCAGAGTTACAAAACGAAAAGACGTGGAAAACAAAGCAAGTCTTCAGAAACTGCCAGGACTAGCACGAAAAAGTGAAAGATTTCTGGTCTCCTAGACATTACATTATGTACTGTAAATGGTATTTTTTTAGTGTGTTAGATTTTACATATACAGTGTAAGGCTACGCTACCTTTTAGCCAGATCTGCCGCCTGTTTTGCAGCCGAGCCATTAACCAGCAACGAGACATTGGAGATGCCTCCAGCCTGGAAGCAATCCACAATCCCCTGGTTCCTCCTGGGACAGTAGCCAAAATCATCTCCTGTCACCACCAGCATCATTCTGGGCTGTGGCATTATTGCTGGTCTCTGTTGGCGACACACAGGGGACAGATTAACATTCATCGTTATGGTGTCCATGGCTAATAATGACCAGGTTGTCCGTTATCAGTGAACATGGACCCTGGATCCTCCGACTGTTCCACGTCACATGGTTTATTGATAAGAAAGACACGAAACACCAAACTGTTGTGGTTTTCAACAGTGCCTTTCATTGCTGCTATAGAACATGAAAGAGCAGTACGTCAGCAAACAGAAGCACATATCTGTCAATACACCAGCCACGTTTCTAAACTAGATGATGGTCTGATTTAAGTTTCTGTGCACATTTTAAGATTGCTCTAGATCGCCAGCTGGACTATTAAAAACACATAAAACTGCAAAGTTAGTCTATATTAGCCCTTTGTGGTGATATACTTGCCCGATGCAGCTGCCCGCTCATAATCAATGAAGTGCTGGGAAATCTTTGCTGAGTTACTGCGCTCTGTCTCTCGGTGCCTCTGGAGCTTCAGTTTGGGCTGCATTCTAATATGAACAGCTTCAGTCCGTGCAGGTAAGTACAGAGCATGATGAGCCAGACGAGCTGCTGCTTTTTACAGTGTAAAATTATCTGATCTACCTGGGCAAACACAGGAGCCACCTAGAAACCAAACAGTAACACCTTAACAAACATCTAAGGTGTGTTTACTATTTAGATCAGGTTTGAAAAAACACCCACAACAACACTCCTGTTAATCTTAGCCCCCATGTCTGTTAACCCAACAATATTCTACAGGTTCATGTTTACCATTATTCCTGAGTTACAAGCAGAGTCTGCACAGGTAGGTCATAAGTTTCTTTTTAAATGGTAACAGTAGTGTCCACAGATCTTTGGTCCAACAGAAGAAGAAGGCCACAGCCTCCAAAGGGCAGTCTCATTCTGTCTTCTGGATCGTGGTACAGCCAGCAATGATCAGCAGACCTCAGAGATCTAGCTGGCACATACGGATGTAGCAGCTCACTGATCATGGAGGCATCTGATCATGGAGGGGTCTCAAAATGATCAGCACACTTTTAAACTGAGCCCCAAACTTTATGAGGAGGCAGGAAGACATAATCTGTCCACCTTAAGAGGACCCAGTGATAAGCCTGACAGCAGAGTACTAAAACACTGGTAAGTGATCCAGAGAGGACCTGCTCAGGCAAATGAACTACAATAATCAAGATGTAATGAAATAAAGGTATGTATACCACTTTGATTTCACTTTGAGACACAGTGTATTTACGTTTGTAAAAGAAAACCAACATGTTTTTCCAAACTGAAGCCTGATAAAAGGTGACGCCCAGATTTCTCAGAGTGGGGAAAACTAAAGTTTAAAGATGAAGATGAAAGGGGCACAGAGTTATTCAGGATGAATGCAAGTGTGAACATGAACTAAATTAGCAGAAGCAACTAAAAAGCTCCTGTGAAAGAGAGAAAGAAACTCCCTCAAGTGCTGATCCAGACATTCAAACACAAGCTCTAAATGTCTAAGATACCATTAGATTTAAAGATGGAGCTGCCAGGGACGGAAAGACCACAGGGAAGCTTTATACATACAGTGAAAGAAGACACGCAGGGGTTGGTGTGACAGACGAATATGCTAGAGATGGGGTTAGATGATAGCAACTGATCTATGGCGTTAGTTTTGCGCCACTATTCTGAACGCACGTAAAAAAAGTTTGCAGGTGCAAGTGTTGTATTTTGAGGAGAAACTTATTTTGAGCGAAGAAAAGCT